TTCCCTACATTTTGTTGTGTTTATGTGAAAATGCCTTGGTTAAAAAAGTTCATTTTGAAGCTTACCGTGACCAACATACATAACATCACCACATTGTACTTTCCCAGTAAGAAATTACTGTCTCAAAGACTTCATTTCATAGCCATAAACCTTCTTTTCTTCTTTTTCTCACAATTTCCCAAGGAAAGTAATTCTTACAGAGCTGGGGAGTTTTTATGTTCATCAGTATTTTAATTCTTATTTCACTGCAAGGCTAGAAAAAGATTTGCAGAAATACCCCCGCCTCCTGCATGACCTCCCCATCACTTTATATAATGTTATCCCTGATAGAAATCTGTCTTTTTCTGGACAGAGGGTGAATCGCTGCAGGCATGCCGTCCTGCTGCTGGGTTTGTAATCCACACAGGCAGGAGGGGATTTCCACTCCAAAAACGCTCTGAGGTTGATGAAATCACCTGGTTGCTTTGACGGCATTAAACGTATGGAGACGTCAGTCGTGGTCTGGGACAGGAATCGAGTCAGGTTGTGGTTTGAAGCTCAAAGGGGGTGGGTGGAGGGCACAGGGCGCAGAACCTCGCTGTGACACGTCTGAAACCAGAGGAAGCCCCAGAAATGAATTGGATTTCCTAGGGCATCGCCCTGTATTGTTTTATGAAGTCCCTTATGTATAAAATGTTTATAAATATTTGTGGATTAAGATACACAGGTCTATTTTTAAGATTTAAGTTAAATAAGTTAATTAACGGCTGGCCTTTTTTGCCTAAACGTGCAATGAGATATATTATACCTTTAGTCTACGATGGCCTAGGTACTGCTTAGTCTGTGATGAAAACTTTGCTGCTTACCTACAGTTCTCAGAGAAAAAAAACACAAAACAAAACAAAACATAAAAGGTGAACAGGTTTGTTGCACAGGGACTATCGCAGCAAAGCTTTGTATTTGACCACTGGTAATATGAATGTGTTGTATTGACTTGTTGAAGATAATCATGAAACAACATATTTTAAATGTTACTTGCCTTATAGATTAGAGTACGACTATGTGGATATCATTTTTGTAAATAATGTTTTTTTATAAATGTCTCCCCTCCATCCTCCCCCATTTCACAAAAACCTCAAATATGCAATTATTTGCCATGCATCATGTTGCAACAAATAAATCCCCACGTCAGAACAAAGTTTATTAATTCTATACATAAGAACCACATTAAACACCCCATTGAGTTGCAATTTAAATGTGATTTTTTTTTCCTTGAAAATAAACAAAAACGGTAAAACACTAATTTTTCCGAGTGAGCTTTGCTTGCGTGTCCAGGAGCACCCGGAGGCAGAGGTCTCAGGGGCTGTCATGTCCCTGTCCCAAAATGTCACCGCTGCTGGAGCTGTGCCCAGCTTCCCAGCCCCGGGGACAGGTCGGGTTTGGCACATGGGGACATGTGGGGATCCACAGGGACCACGGGGACAGCTGGAGCTTGTGGGGACACATGGGGGCTGTGGGGACGTGAGGGACTGGGGTGAAGGGGTCTTGTAGGGGTTGAGGGGACCCACGGAGGCCATGGGGACATGTCAGGGGTGCAGGGACAAATGGGGGGGCTGTAGGCACATGTGGGGACCTGTGAGGCCATGGGTACCCATGGGGGCTGTAGAGATATGTGGGGGCTCTGTGGACCCATGGTGGCTGTAGGGACACATGAAGACCCATGGGGTCCAGGGGGACACATGGGGGCTGTAGGGACATGTGGGGACACATGGGGACCCGTGGGGTCCAGGGGGACACATGGGGGCTGTAGGGACATATGGGGACCACATAGGGGGCCCTGTGGGGTCCATGGGGACACATGGGGGCTGTAGGGAGATGTGGGGACCCGTGGGGTCCGTGGGGACACATGGGGGCTGTAGGGACACGTGGAGACCTGTGAGGTCCATGGGGACACATGGGGGCTGTAGGGACACGTGGAGACCCCTGGGGTTCATGGGGACACATGGGGGCTGTAGGGACATGTGGGGACCCGTGGGGTTCATGGGGACACATGGGGACTGTGGGGACCCGTGGGGTCCATGGGGATCCAGAGGGATCACGGGGACTTGTGTGGGCTATAGGGACATGTGGGGACCTGTGAAGGATGGGGGGGACCCTT